ATTTTTTGTGAAATTACTCCACTAGTTTGTTATAATTATTAATACAAAGATCGAACAATCAGAAAAAAACACTCAGAAAAAATTCCTTCGATCTGGTCGGATTCGAACCGACGTCTTCTTGCATACCGTGTCAGACGCTATACCAACTAAGCCTGATATTTAATTATTTTTTGTGAAATACTCCACTAGTTTGTTATAATTGTATTAATAATTATAAAATAAAATATTATTTTAAAAGTATATAAATTATATTGTATGTACATACGAGTTTTAGCTTTACATTCCAGATAAAGCTATAGAATTGTGTTTCAGGCATATGTACCACTGAATATGCACTGTTTTGCACATCTAATAAAATAAAATGAAGATTTGATGGCATGAGATTTCGTGCATAGTTTTATTAATCGCCTGGTATTGTAACGGAACGATTACTTACTCAAGCCATTAGCGGAATCTCTGTAATCAGGAGCGACGGCAGCTTCGTTGATTGCGATGACAATGGGCGAATTCTTGAATTGACCTTTGGTGGACTTGCGTTCTGTCGATGTAAAGTCCTCCGCACCTGCCCTAGTAAATAATATAAATATTAGTAAACAACATATACAGAGAGTTTCTTTAATGACATAGTATAGGGAAATCATAGAAGATACAAGGAAACTATCTTAGGAACTCTTAAATCTTTTTTGTGAAAACAATTTTGGCAAAGTCAATTTGTTTTGGTCAAACGTGAGTTGTCCATAGAAATGAGTAAAATATGTATATCAAGGTTTTTTTTAGTGCTGATCGACTCATTTTTATGTAAGGATCGTTTGAGATGGATTGTATGAGACGAAAAAATTTTCATAAAAATTAAATGAAAAACATTTCATACAAAATGAGTAAAATTGACTTTTTTTTAATGCTGATAGACTTAGCTTCTTATAAAGATGATTTCTTTGTATGGGAGGAAAAAAATCAGGACAGCGGAAGTTGGTCAAATTTAATAAAATGTTTATTCATTTTGAATGAAAATTTTTTTAAATTAAATTTGACAAAATTTTGCTGTCCCAATTCTTTTCTTCTTTTCATTTCATTTCGAGAACATGTAATGGAAAAACATTTTTATAATTCAAAATGTCTGTTTCAGAACACTATGAGTTGGAACTCATGCTGCGATATGAATATCGCAACCTCAATAGTAAAGTGACGTAATTCAAATAACATGTAACGCTAAACAAATTGAACAATGATTGCAATGTTCATGTAACCACTGGCCACATACCAGAACGATTAATTTGAAAAAAAAAAAAAAGAATGACTTCAATCGTCTTTTAATTTACGAGCTACGCACACGGAGTATATTATACAAGTTGAAGACGCGCGTCATCTGCACTTGTACGCGCCTCAGACACGCTATAGTGAATCGCGTTGTAAGCAAGAAGGTAGCTTATATACTCCAGGAGCTTACACTTAGAATTGCATGTACTTGCTTTATTCCAAAAACTAATTGAAATTAACAAACAAAACTAAAATTAAAACTATCTCTTATGAAAATGCGCGATACATACACGGCTACAGCGCGTATGCGCGCCAATGGCGCTCGTTTACTACGCGTGTATGCGCAAATGAAGCGCGTTTACGGCGCTTAAACGCGCGTCGTCAACGCGTATAAAATACGCCGTGTGCATAGGCTGTAAACATTCTGGTATATGTGGTCAATGGTTCACATGAACGTTGTTGACATAATTCAACTTGTTTAAAGTGTTCCTCTAAATAGATCCATGAGTATAATATTCAGCCAATGTCACTTAAACTGGAGAGAGGTAGACTGCGACGTACATCTCGATCTGATTAGAGACGTGCTTAAAAAGATCAAGTTTAAAAACCAATAATAAACAACAGTGTACGAAGAGACTGATGCGAGTGAAGAAGGCGTGAAAGATTTGTCGGGAACGTAGCAAGTGGTGGTATAATAGCCAACACAACATCTGTTGACCTTCATGAAGGAAGTTTTAGCCGTCGGGAGTCAAGTATCGACGTTTCCAAGGACGGTTATCGGACACCCACGTTGCGTCACACGTCGCAGTTCATACGTGTAAATATATAGTGTTTTATTATATTACTATGTATGTTAGTCTATAGAGTACGTATTTATGGGTCTTTCTAACCTGTAGGACTAGCATGATAGGGCGCGACTCGCGCGACAGCGACATAAAGCGCGAAATTTTATGCGAGAACAGCAGTATATAAATAAATAGTCTATCTACTCCAGTGGGATACGGTCGTGTATGTATAACTTACTTCATAAAAACTTCTTCTAAACTGGTGACAGAAAGTCCATAGCTCGATACTTTTAACTCGTCTTTTTTCATCTCAAAGTCCTTCAACATGTCGGGGAACTTCCTCACATGATCGTTGGATATTATATACGTCAACTCCAAACCTGGTTGGAAAGAATGCTCGTACAAAGAAATAGATCTTTAAAATAATCAACATGTTACTATGATATGTATACGTCTTAAGCTCTTAGGCTCAATTTACATTACAACAGAATGTAATGGAAGTAAATTTTGCAATGAAATTGTACATAGTATAATGGACTTTATGTGAATAGTGTAACGTACAAACTAAGTACGAGACGGTAGCTACGGGAATTTCCGACTGCGAGATAATACTCCGGAAGACTATGTTTACTATTATGTTTTATTAGTGTTAGGTTGCGATTAATAATTTATTTATTTATTGATGAACTGCATGATTATAGTTACCTACAAATTATTGCATAAAAAATTATATAAAAACTAACAAAGCTTTGTATGCCACAAAACGGATCACATTGATTCAAAATTCATTTCTGGAACGACTTTATAACCTGTATATCACAAAGAAATAAATAATTTGGTTTGAGTTGACAATTGACATAATGCTATGATTACAAAAAAAATGCTTCCGTTCCATTCCGCAGCAATGTAAATTGAGCCTTAGGCATAACATGAAAAGACCCAACATCACCTATAGATTCAGGAGGTATTGCCAATCGGTTTCAGCCACGTATATTTATTTGCTGTTGGGTAATTTACTGAAAAATTTCAATGAAAGGAAATTTTTCGGGAAAAAATTCTGTAAAATTGGTAAAATATACCTATATTGGTAATTATATTATTATGTTCTATGTTTGGATATATCTTTTGAAGTTTTATTAGCCTGAATTGTAAACCAAAATTGTATAGCCAAAGCAAGTTAGAGTGAAATGAGATTTAAAATGATTGGGCAACGGAAAAAAAGAATCGAGGGTAAATTTTTCCGGAAATATTTCTACTGTTTCAAATTAATTTTCGTAAAATTGCCTAACAGTAATCATAGGTAAAAAAAATCTTTATGATGATTCCTACGTTTTTGTTCAGTAGCTTCTACTTTTGACAGGTGTCAACTTTCAAATGTGGAAAAATATTCTGAAAAATATTTATTTTTTTGAAAAATATAAGACAGACTATATAATGTGGTTTTTGTACGCAAACATTCATTAACCGGCTCAGATTATGTATGGGCCATAATCTTTGAAAGCGATATTTTCATTATAATGTACATTGGGCGTTTACGTGGCTCCTAGTAGTAATATTCTCAGGGCCTGAATCACTTCGTATATCATGTAGGTGTACACTGGGCCTTAATATCAAGGCGGTTAATATCAAGCTTTTAGGATCTTGTAGATGCCAGTTCCTTTTGTACGTTAACACTCTCTCAACAGTCTACATGGAAAGATGAACTCACCTATATTAGTATTCTCTTTAACATCGGGCACGTATGTTTTTAAGAAGTTGGTGACGTCATTCACTTTGCAATTGTCAGCTTTGACGATTGTCATTTTGTAGCCAATACCGTAATGTTTCTTCAGAAAATAGGGCGTCCCCATGCACTGGAGGCGACCGCCTGCCATTATTGCTATTCGATCACCCAGGACGTCCGCTTCGTCCATGAAATGAGTTGTTAAAATCATGGTTCGACCTGCGAGATAAAAAAGGTATATTTATAAACGTAACGTAATCTTTAAATGAAGGCAGCTGTGAAAAAATCGCAGAAACTAAAATAAATTTTGAGCTTATGTATATATTATTAATAATTGACAGAATTGGAAGACGTCTAGTAAAGTCTGTAAATAGACAGAAGCAGTCTAGAGTAGACAAAAAATATTGCAATCAGGGAGACTACACTCGTTCTCCATCCGACATACGTCCGAAACGATTACTGCCAAATAACTAAGTACGAAACTTAATTCGCATTATTTTGTGCTATGACTTTGAGTTCTTCGACATTAAATCAAACAATCTCAAAGGCGGCAACGCATAACACCAGCACATAGCACCTACTCAAATGTTACTGATATCCATGGGTGATGATGACCATCTCCCAACAAGTGGCACGTCTGCTCGTTTGCTTTCTACTTTACATAAAAAAATTCAGGATATAATATGATCGTCATTAATATAAACAATAATAATTAATATGAACCAAAAGTAAACAAAAAATATTGTCAAAAAAAGGACAACAAGTTTAGGTTTTCGTGTGACTACACATTGAAAATGAAACTATTTTTTCGGATCTTAATCGATTATATTTAGATTTTTTTCATTCAATCATGATCCAATAAAAATAATATTACAATTACTTCCAAAGAAATTTCTCCACACTCAAATATCGTCTTAGTATCATAACAAAAAATCGTCGTTGTTTTATGGGAAAGTGTGTAGCCATATTTCGAAAAATTTTCCTGGGGAGCATATTTTTGCGACTGTTTTGTTTACGTCCTGTTTTAAATCCTTCTGCCTTGATCTGTATTTGCTCCCTCTTACCGTTAAATTCTTCTGCCTTGATGTGCCTTTCAATTTTATCGACTATTATTTATATGAAAGGAATTGTTTCGGATAGAGAATGAGAGTATAGTGCCAGTAAACGATATACGATAACGGCGGCTCCGTTACGACTTGTCGTTTATCTGTTCAAGGACAGATAGTGGCCGGCCTTCACTTCGTTTGCACCTCATCGTTCGACAGTCTTTCTCAATGGTTTCTCTTCTGCTATCAAAATTAGTCTACTACGGACTAGACCCACGGGCGGTTCAGTGGTTTAGTGATTACCTTAGTGACCGATGCCAGTCTGTAAGACTCAAGAAACGCAACTGCATTGATATGGTTTCTAATTTGCAGCCGGTTCATCGTGGTGTTCCACAGGGTTCGATACTAGGTCCTATACTATTTATAATATACAGTGCTGATTTGGTCCAAGTAATAAAACATAGTAAATTCCATTTGTACGCCGATGATGTTCAGCTGTATATTTCTGAAGTGCCTGAGAGAATATCGGATTCATTACGGCTGCTCAATGAAGACCTAAATGCGATAGCTGAATGGTCGGTCCGAAATGCGCTAGTGCTAAACTATAATAAATCAAGGTTTGTGGTGCTTGGACCAAAAGTTCAGATTAAGAAAATTTTAAACAAGTCACCAGTAGTTAGTATTTTAGGTCAAAGTATTTCCCGGGTTCATGAAGCTAGAAATCTTGGTGTTCTGTTGGACAGCGAACTCCGTTACGAAAAACATTTAGAAAATGTTGTGAGAAGTTGCTTTTATAGACTGAAAGTCTTGTATAAAATTAGGAATTTATTGTCCGAGGGAGTTAGGATTACTTTGTGCGAATCCCTGGTGCTGTCTCGTCTCAACTATGCAGACATTGTTTATGGCCCTCGACTGTTATATAAAACAAGTCGCTTAATACAACGCATACAGAATGCATGTTGTAGATTTATTTTTGATGTTTCGCCTAGGAGTCATATTACGCCGTTTCTTAATAATGCATGTATACTCAACATGGAATCTCGCATACAGTTACATCTTGCCTCTTTAATGTTTGATATTGCAAAATTCAAAAATCCAGATTATCTTTTTTCAAAATTACAATTTCCCCACTTTTATAAACGGTACGACCATATTCCTAGATCGTTACGTCCCCCGCTAAACGTGCAGCGCCATCGTACAGCAGCGTTCACCGGCAGTTTTCGCTACCACGCAACAAAGTGTTGGAATAATATTCCATTACCTTTAAGACTTTTAAAATCTAAACGCACCTTCAAGGAAAAGGTAAAGGAACTTCTTCTTGACAGTCAAAAAAAGGGTATTTCACAGAGCTTTGCTTAGGTGGCGAAAATTTGCTGCATATCATCATCATCAGCCTATTGCAGTCCAGTCCAGTCCTATTACATATATTGTGTATTAAAACCATGATTAACCCACTAAAAATTTAATTTTCTTTTATATCAGTATTTCACTTGTTTTTCTTAATTTTTCTTTTATATATTGTACACTTACAATATATAATTTGAATTAAATCACTAATATTTTTAATTTATTTTTGAACATTATATTTATATTATCTTCTAACTATAACTAAATAAATATAACTAAATGGAAAAATTACTTCAGCGAGCTGATTATCGTATCCGCGATTACCTCTAGGTTATAGCTGAAAATCAGCGGTTTGCTCTTGAGTAAACACCGACGCTGAGCTATGACCTTTTTGCACTGCTGCAGCACACGTACATAACTGGGTGCCTAGCAGTGCTGCGACTCTGCTGTTTTTGTTTATTTTTTGTTTTGTTTGTGTTTTTGTGATCTTTTTATTATTTTTTTGCTATTATGTACGTGTGAATGTAGTAACAAATAAACGTTTTATCTATGTATCTATCTATCTATAAAACAACTGTGACGGTGTGACCTCCTTACACCGTCATCTCACCTCTTTGTATCGCCTCTCTCCGCTTGTATCCTACAATTTTTTTACATTTTACATGTATTTAAATTTTAAATTAGAATTGTTCCATTTTCCTTCACTTTCTCATTTTGTTTTCGTACCACGGTCACTCCCAGCTCGACCCCCACAACAGTCAAAGCTGTTTCAAATTCCATCGCGAATAATCGCTAATTCTGGTTCTTTACTACGTTTATAATCATTTAATAAGCTAAATCATGTGTAATAATTTATAACAGTCTACAGCCTTCGTGTACCTATATCTGTAATTCAGTTACTCGGCCCATTTAGGGGTGCCTTAAAAATAAAGTGTAGGGAGTGTTTTATACTGTTTTGCCTGTTTTTTACCTTTAACCTTTTTATTGTTACAGCCCTTTCTTTTAACTTAACTTCTTTAATAAATTTTGTGGACCGGAAGTTTCCCGTTTCATTGCCGTGAACCTGTTCACGGCTAGTTAAGGTTACAACCCTTTCACAACTACATAAAAAGATTGAATTGCCAAGAAACCAAGGATTTATTAGGAGGATGAGAACGGGACTCTTTTAAATTTGATAACTTGTGTGTGGTGTGGTCAGAGATGTAATCTACATAATTATTTAAAATAATAGGGGTTAAAGTATGAAATTGCCGATTTGTACTGAA